GATAGTCGATAAGTTCTTCCGTCTTGTATTCTTTGATTACATCTGCCATCGTGCGAGTTGACCTTTCTTCTGTCAAAGTAGAGGATGTAGAAGCCGGTGAGGATGGTGAAGAAGCATGTGAAGACATGGTGATATTTTTATATTAATTCGAAAACTCTTGTTTATGTATCCCGCTAGATAATGCGATGCAAGTGGAAACTTTTTATCACATCTGTTTTTGGGTGATCGGTACTTTATACAGTATACATGCGGGAAGTTACACAAACTGATCAGGAGATAGACGTATGACGCGTTTCTTTATTTTACGAAAAACTTGCCCGTAGTAAAGCAGATATAAAAAATAAAATTTATGAAATATATATCGCTATTACATGGATAAAAAAATCCAATTATTCGGTAGAGGGGTAGATAGTAACATTAATAGGACCTCTTTCACCATCTTCTGAAAAGTAAGGAGGATTTTTTCTGAGAGTGTCTATTTCTAAAACAGTGAAATACTCAGAAATTCTTTCTTGCCGATTCATAAGTTGTCCCTGTCTCTCATCAGGTGTGGTATGATTTTTTAATGTGCTGACTAAAGCATTATTTGATTGAAAAAAATCTTTTTGTAAAGATCATATTCATTCAAGTTACATTGATTGGCTTACTCGACCGACTTCCCATTATCGACAGATAGAGTGAAAATATCATGTCTTGATAAATATTTTCTGTCTCAATAACTATAATTAATGAATCTGTATCGGTATATAAAAGTTTCACCCGATCTCCATATTTCTTTTTAAGGTATCCGTACCAGAAATCATACATATAATATTTAGAAAGATCGAGAATACATGCTCCTACATATTCAGGTTTATTTAATTTTACATTAGCTTGTCTTCGATGTACAGCTAGTAGATTAGCTCCGTAGAATATTTTACGACTAACAAATGCTGGATCTGAAATTAATCTACGTAATCGTCGTTCTTCTCCTACCTGTCTCACTAAATCTATATTGACACGTTTCCTCACATCCTCCATAGTTTTCCCAAATACTGAATTGTTCATTAATTTCCAAAAATCTTTTTCGAATGCATTCTTTGCTTTTGCTCGTCTCTGGGTATTCATTGCAATATCTGGTTCCATCCAAGGTGATTGTTCGAAACCTAAAACTTTATATACTTTTTCTAGAACATGCCCCTCTCTTATACACTGCTGTAGATTTCTATAATGAATAACGTAATGGTCTTATTATGTAGAGTTAGTATAAGTTTTTCTGTATCAGGACGTTGTTCGCCTGCCCATTCTTTTTGTTTTGAACTATACCAATCATATGGTACCTTCTTTCGTTCTGGACACATTGGATAATCTCGAAATTTAGGATGTAATTCTTTAGGAATCGATAACTTAACCTCCAAACAGCATCTCGATTTGAATTTTCTTTTAACGATAAAATTTTCTGCATTAATAGGGAAGTATCCTCGAGGGATTTTGTTGATAATCCTCCGGTTGGTAAATATTGGGACATTGCCCAACCATATAGATTATTAGCGTCTAAGTAGAGTAGCCATTTTTTTGCTTTTTTCCCATTATACCCCTCTAATCCAGGAATATTTGCTCTGGCTATGCGTCGTCTAGCTAAAGACATTCCTCCCCTTTTCATTGCTGTAAAGAAATCGTACATATCTCCTTGGTGTTCATAAGATAATTCTAGCTTAACTTTAGTTACCTTCATACATGCATCCCATGCTAGACCTTGTGCTGTTAAATAATTTGCTGGGTCGAGCTTGAATGCTGAATATGAGGCTTTACTGAATGCCTCAAATGCATCAGCTAGAATTAGTACACCAGTTTTAAGATAAATATCATGATAGTCACCAAAGTCTTGCATTCTGTTTCTTGCCAAACTGTTTGTGCGAAATCGTAGTCTTTTTGAGATATTGTATAAACTTTCTCGTGTTCACATTCTTTGTTTTCACACCTATGCTCACAATAATTATATCCATCTAAGTCACTATTAAAATCCTTACGTGGTGGTAGTCGTGTCTCATTAATGATAATAAATGAGGTGAGATGAATTTTGACATAATTGGAAAACATTTTGCGAGTTTTTCTGGTGTTTTAGTTTGGCCCTTCTTTTCATCACATAAGTTTTCTGCTATCTTAGCTAAACCAGGTAAGGAAAATTTCATACTATCTATAAATTGAAGCTGTCCGAACGAGAAAGTAATATATTGTTCTGAATTATTCGCTATGGGTACTATTTTTTCATCTGTTACCTTCGCTATTTCTTGCATAAGATGATGAAAATCATATCCACTACCATTACAAAATAGTATTGGAATTTTTATTGTTTCTGGATCGATTCGTAATTTCATATTACATTCATTATGTGATGCACCTCGAAATTTTCCTGTAATATGATCATGATCTAGTACCGTATGTCGCGGTGTATAGTACCCCTTGTAGAATGCTTGCCGGTTCATGCATGGATATTTTAATGGTGCATATCAATCCGCCAACCAATATATATAAGAATAAATTTAATTTTTTTTGTCATGTATAGTATATATGTTCTGCGTCATTTTTCAATATATGTTAATTATTAATTAACATGTGTCGTTTATAAATTAAAAAAGCACATATGTCGTTTTAAAATCGGTATATATTCACCGATTAATAATAAAATTTAGATTAAAAAAAGAAAAGCGAAAAAAAATAAGCTTA